TAATGATGATCAAACAATATGTTTACATCATGAACAAAAACTATTATTGATGTATATTCAACTTCAAAGGAAGTGCTGCGATCCATTTAAGAAGCACAAAAAAGCTGTGAAGTCTTCCTTGAGGGAAATAAACCTGGAAGTGGCAACTAATGGTAGAGCTGCTAACAAACGCATCATACCTGGACAAAAGTTATGCTCTTCGTGTTGTGTTAGCATCAACAATTGTCTGAAAAAGAAAGAACATTTTTCCTCAGAAGAGAAAGATGATACTACACAACCTGATTTTGAGTGTGACTATTCTTTTGATTCAAACAGGGAAAGTATGGATTCATCATTAATTGAGATGGATGTTAGTCAAGTTAAGCTTCACTCAGTGACATCACATTCAAAATCTTGTATTGGAAGCAAAAACTAAGACAAGTAGAGAAAAAGTTAGAAGAGCGAAAATCGACAATACGGAATCAAGTTGGTGATTTCATTTAAGTTCCAGCAAAATCTTTGTAAGTACAGAAAGGAACTTCTGAACAAAATATTGTTGTAATGGTACAGAAAAGCATTAATGAATGAGAAATTGAAAGTTTCAAACCGGGCCTGAAAAATTCAAATACTAACAATGGTGCCACTTTCTTGGCCAATCAAGAAATCTCATGAAATTTTTAATGTTTCAGAACATATGGCTCGGCAGGCCAGGAAATTAGCTGAGGAGAAAGGAATTATGGAGTAACCAGAAAGGAAACAAGGGAAACCAGTGTCAAAAGAAACTGAAAAAAAATGATTACAGCATTCTGCTGTGATGATGAGTATAGTTGACAGATGCTGTGCAAAAAGGACTTTGTAAGCCTTTGGAGGAATGTCCATATGCAAGAACGACTTCTATGTGGACTTACAAAGCATTTAAAGAAAAAACAATTTAAACTTAGGATTTTTCAAATTTAGTAACCTTAGGCCAAAATGGTGTTGGCTCTTCTGGGACACATTCAATTTGTATCTGCACCAAGCATAAGAACATCGCTTTGATGTTGAATGCAGTCAAATTAGACAAGTCCTACCATGAACTCATCAATATGATTGTTTGTAACCAAGATAAGAAAGATTGTATGCTTCATTGGTATGACAGATGTCTAGTTATTCGAAATCTGAGAGCATATATTGAAGAAAAACTTTCTGATAATGATGGAGCTGAAAGCAGGGAAAAAGATGATTTTAATGAGTAGGAGATGAGGTTTCAACAATGGATGACTGTTGACAGGTTTCAGTTAATTGCTGTCTCATTGTCAGTAAACAAATTTATCGATCAGCTAATTGACAAACGAATGATATAATGGCACACTTTTATTGCTAAAGCACAAACGAAGTTTCTTAAGAAATGCAAAGAAGAGTTGCACGATGATGATGCATTGGTTATCAACAATCATTGGAATCAACAATCATGCACTTTGCATCCTATCATCTTGTATCACAGAACAGGAGGTGAATTGAAGGAAGTTTACCTTTGTTTTTTTCAGATTACTTGACTCATGATGTAGGCTTTGTTTATAGTCATAAGCCAAACCACCAACTACATCAAGGAGATAAATGGTAAGGTAAAGATGGTGTACTATTTTAGAGATGGTTGTGCGGGACAATATAAAAACTGCAAAAATTTCATTAATTTATGCCTTCATCTGAATGATTTGGGAGTAAATTGTATTTGGAACTTTTTTTGCTACATCACATGGTAAATCACCTTCTGACGGTCTTGGAAGAACAATGAAATGCTTAACTGCAAGGGCCAGTCTTCAAATACCCTCATCAAACCAAATCTTGTCAGCAAAAGGAAGTTTGACTTTTAAAGAGATGAAATTAAAGGGGTAATAACATTCTTTATTTCACAAAATAAGATGATTGAGGTGTGGGAATATCTGAAAGAAAGATTTCAGCAAAGTAACACATTCCCTGGAACTCAGTTTCCACCAATTTATACCACTATCAAATAGTATTATAGTATTCTCACTGCAACATGGTCACCTTTGCAGTTTTATAATAAAAAAAGAAATATATTTTGTCTTGAATTCATTGTACAACTGTAGCAACATAGCAGCATGGTAGTTCAGTGTAAGAAAACTCACAAAGTGCAAGCTTGTCCAGAACAAAAAAGTAGCTTATCTTGTACAAAGAAAATTTAGAGGAAACATAGTTCAGAAACTATGTTTTTTTATAACTTTAGACAAAAACAGAACAATTCTTTTATGAATAATGTAAAAGAATTATTGATGTTTCTACTCCATCATTCAAATTACTTAACTAGTAAAATTAAACCTTTCTCACAGATTTATCTCAAGTTATATTTTTGAAGATTCTCATTTTCTGTCTTATAAGATGATGATGAAGAATTATGTTTTCCTTAAAATAGCATATACTTTTACTCAATTAATAATACTAACAATGCAACTATCTATGTCTTACTTTTAATGGGCATTTAAGTTTTCTTGTGTAAGTAGATGAAAAATAAGTGTGTAGTATTGTTTTTTAATTTTCTTTCAAACACTCTATTTGAATGTACTTTTAAAAAATACTTTTTAGAGAATTTAAAGAAATTCAGGTCAAATTACATCATTCAGTAACCAACAAAAGTTAACATGTTAGATATCTATTGCACTTGCAATATATTTTATTAACACCCATAAAGTAGCATAAATAGAGATATTTCTTACTGAACACTACTTTATTCACAAAATACTGCTGATATGATATAAGAATCAATTACAAATTCCATCTATATCACAGAACTTAACTTGGAACCCCAGCTTGTTAAGCAAGTGCCCTACCAAATGAGTAGTAAGAACAAGTTTCCAGCAAACCACACTCCATCCCAAACAAAAGGAAACTAGCATTGGTCCTACTCATTACCAGATTAAATATTAGTTTAGCTCTAGTAAGTAGCTTGCTCTGATCAGAAGATAATATTAATAAGATATCTCACACTCAAATTTTTTATCAAAGCATGCAAAAATAACATTTTAAGATAAACAAGAATTGGAAACCACAAATCAAGAAAACATGATTCTATGCCAAATTTCAAACTGACCACATATACAAATGGTTTAACTTGATGGTGACTCAATCAAAAAAACCTTCAGCACTAAGAAAACTACGAGGAAGGCACTGATGTAACAAATTTAGACAAAATATAAGAAATTCAAGCCATTTCAATTGTCTTTCTGATCCAGTTACTCACCGTTAAAGAAATAAGATCCAGGCACTGGAGAAGGTGAATGAAGTTATTAAAATATTTCCTAAAGTTTGCACATATGTCTTGAAACCTAAGAACACAAACTATTGTTATAAAGACTAACAGCTTTTTTGAAAATGCTGCTAATCCTTATAACACAAACTGTTATTTCTAATAAATATACTCTACTGAACTGTAAATATATAAATTTACTGCAGAACACTTCCCACTCTTTACTTCACAACATGCATTATGATTTGGTTTCAGATAGTAATAATTATATGGCAGCTGAGTTACAATATGTTATTAGTTCAAACATAAACAGTTACATGATAAAATAGCTTTAAAAAATTCTTGAATTTTATAACATTAAAATGTGTAACAAACCGTTAATTATGTTTAAACTCACAGAGTGCTTTTCTTTACCTCTCTGGATAATGCTATCTTTGATGATATTTAAATCGAGCATACATAAATAAAGTCACAATTACATGGGAAAAGGCTATGGACATTTTTATATGCATATCTCATAATTTTGGATATATACCTGCATTATTATTATTATCACTCCTTTATAATTGCAAAAAGGACAAAAAAACATATGAAATTTTCAAAAACAAATATACTAATTTGAAATGCTACTTAAGAATCAATTGTCTGGTATGCAAGGAAAGTGCAAAAAAAAGACATTCATTTCTCCTTTTGATGTTCCTTCTTCAATTCATGATTTACCTAAATTCTAGCTACTTTATATATATATATATATATATATATATATATACACACAC